ATTCAACGTTTTTGCGAATTTCAAATTTTTCCTCAATTTTAATTAATCATCGATTCAAAAAAGGAAAAGCATTGAAATCAACCGGCTGATTTCTCTCGCTTTTCCGCCGCGTGCCGCGCCTTTAGATCGATCCATCGGACCAATTGCTCTGGCACGTTTTGCTGGAGCATAACAATAAATCTGGTGGGCTCCACCCACGTGGGAAGCAAACCTGCGTTTTACGTGTACACTGTACAATGCTGCACATTTGCTCCGTGAACCATGTTTTAGCAGCGCCTTTTAGGTAGCTGTTTTTCTTTTTTGGGCGAATGGCCTTTTAGGTGAGCTGTAGCAGTTATTTTGGATAGGAAATGATGGAATCAACATTTTCATCCTTAGTACATAAAAAGGATGCTTACCTTTTTTTTGTGAAAAAAGCAGCTTACCTGATCGACCAGACATATTTTTTCTTGGGAAAGGCTTCTCTTCAACGGATTGAACGTTTGGCACGTGTCAACCGTTTCATCAGTATTTTATCGTGCGGCACGCAACAATTCCCCATCAAATACACGCTTTTGCAACATGGGACATGTTGCAAGACAACCGAGCACAACACATGTTGTGTTGCGGACCGACCAGATCGAGCGAAAGTGGCGTCGACTGGAGCTAGGAGCGGCGACGATGCGTGTACTTGAGGCGAAGACAATGCAATAGTGTCGGTAACATTGCACAACATGGATCATGTTGCGAACTTAACAAACACAGCAAGGGTACTATTACAAACCTACAGAGCACTTGCAACACGAACTCAACATGAGTCATCTTGCCAAACTTATCGAGCGTACCATGGAATGCAAACCAACTGAGTGTTTGCAACACGAGCGCAACATGAATCATGTTGCAAACCTACCGAGCGCAACATGGGTCATTTTGTAAATGGTATGTCGCGGTCAAATTGGGTCATGTTGCAAAAATACCTAGCGCAACATTAGTCACGTTGCAAACAATGTTTCACAGTTGAATTGCCGACATGGCCAAATCAGATGGTTGTGATGAGCGGGGTCCAATGGATGTGGAGGCGGTCGATCTAGACCACGAGTCAATCGGACGATCTGATCTGATCTGCCCCGCTACAAAGCCTCTCAGCATTGCTGCAATCGAGGATGTGACGGTGTGGCTGGGCACCACCGTCGTTGCTGAATTCTTGGATGGGACGGTGCGGCCGGGCATCACCACATATGCAATCGGGAAGTCACGTCGCTTTAAGGCTTTGCCGTTGTTGTTGTTGTTGTATGCTGGGACAAAACGTGCAAGTTAGGTGCCATTGCTGCATGCAGGGACCTACGTCGTTGCAACACATTTGGATGCGCTACCGCCAACTGGTATGGGCACATTGCAAGTCTAGGTGTTACCGCTACAAGCTGGGACGAGGCGCTATACAAGGCCGGGGGCCACCATTGGAAGTCGAGATGGGATGCTACAAAATTGGGCGACATTGTTGCATTCTGGACATGTGATGTTGTTACAAGAATATTTTTTCTATCACAATGGGCGGCGGTGCTTAGACGATGTTGCAAGTCGGATGCACATTGCTGCAAGAATGACCATCAAGTTTTGTGGTTATGGTCAGCGCATGCTGCGGCGACTGGTGCTGCAACAACGGCTAGCAATGCTGCAACGACCATCACATGTTGCCATGATGGTCAATGCACGTTGCGACGATAATGATTAGTGTTGCAACAGCGATCACCCGTGTTGTGGCAGTCACATGATGCTGCAATGACGCCCAACACATGTTGTAACTGCGGTGACCGGTGCTGCAATGACGATCATGAGGTGTTGCGGCGAGGGTCAACGCAATTGTGAAAACGGCAAATGACGACCACTAGTATGATGGCGGTGATAGAGTGTTGCAACGACGGTCATATGATGTTGCGACGATGGTCAACATGTGCTACCGCGATGGTGCGACGAGTGGCGGCACAAGACCCTATACGTATGGCAAGTGCGACCGGGCGAGGATGGCCGTCTTCTTGAAAGCTGGGTGACACCATGCTAGGAGGAGACGAGGGAGACGGTGAGTCAGCTACTACTGCTGCGAGCCAGGGTGGTGCAGTGACGGCTTGCTACGAGCCGACCAGCAACAAGGTCCAACGACCTACCGGAGCTGGCGCAAGCGGAACACGGAGCTACTGGTGCGCTATGCCAGCCACACGGCGAGTAGAACTAGAAATAGATAGCTTGGTCGTACAAAGCGTTGTAAGACTACCCACAATGAAGAGTAACATACACTAGTAACATACACATATCTCTAGACTATGTTACTACCTTCATAGTGGATAGTAACATAAGTGTGGTAACATGCAAAGCTTTATTTATTAAATTATAGACTCATATTGCATTGGGACATGTGATGTTACTTGCTAAGTTACTCAAATTACCTCTCTCCGTATTAACTCAATGTCACATAAGCAAATTTGCTGAGTTGGACTCGATGTTACTGATGAAGTTACTCCCACTGTGGCTAGTCTAAACCTACAAGTAGCTAGTTTGATCAGTGGTTAATTGGTACGTCAATTAAACAAGCTTTTGTGGGGCCTAACATCCACGTGATGTGGTGTGTGAAACAGGTGCACAAGCGGCTCAACCTCCCCGCGCGAACCAATCGTAGCGGCCCGACTTCCGCAGATCCTACGACCAGCGAGGCGGCTTATGTTTGGGTATTATCAGCCGACTTATTTGTAGCATCCGCCTTCAAAAAATGTTTGCTGAGTCAAAAAATGTTCATGAATTCAAAAACTATTCATGTATTTCGGAAAATGTTCGTCTAAACAAAGGAAATGTTGGTGATTTTTTTTAAAAAATATTTGCCGATTCAAAAACTGTTCGCCCATTCAAAAGTCTTTTATGTCTAGGATTTGATTAGTTTTTGGAAAGTCTTGATATGTCTAGGCGTTGGGAGTAGTTCGTGGTGGATGAGATTTATTTTTAAAGTTTTAAACATTCCCTTGTGCTATACAATGACAAGTGTGTAATGCAGTGGCAAGCTCATTGCCTTGGGATTTATCATGTCGAAAATGCATTGCGATCACGTGAACATCGCGTCCATCATCAGAAGATCGGAAGAAAGATAAGTGGCAACATGATGAGCTATCATGTTAAAATAGATAAAGGACGCTCATATGTCAGGGTATTAAGTCAGGCACGGGCATGTTTGCTAGTGTACTATAACGGTAAAACTCAGAGTCACAACCGAACCCGTTTTTATTAATCACAAGCAATTTCTCGGAAAACATAACGTGGGCATAGGACTAGAGCGAAATTATTTCATGGAAGCTAAACTAAACCGATCGATTAAAGGAAAATCTTCTCGACGTGGCCGGCCACCATCCAGCCTTCGATCTCCTTCTTGAGCCGATACTGCGACGCGAACGGCCCCTTGACGAGCACGACGCACATCCTCTCAAGAACAAGCGCGTTCCGGAACAAGAGCCTGGCCATCATCCTCTGCAGCGCGTCACCCTGGTAGTGAACCATGTTGATCTCCTTCACCCGGCTGCGCAAGCACGGCGCCGAGAAGCTCGACTCGTCGGGGGCCGTGAGCCTTTCGGGAACCGTGGCGAACTCCATGAGCAGCGTGAGGATCTCCAGGTTGGGCGCCTGCTCCAGGATCCGGCGCATCACTCCGGGGATAAGAAGAGCACTTTGCAGCGCCAACCGCGTCAGGCTGGAGAAGGAGGGGAAGCCCTCGAAGCAGCTGTAGGGCAAGTGTTGGTGGTGCAGGTGCAGGCTCCTCGCGGCAGAGATCTTCTCCATGAACCTTGTGAACCTGTCGGATGAGGGAGCTTCGCAGAAGTTGACGGTGCAGGATGGGATCCCTGCTGCGCCATGCAGGGACAGGAGCGACTCTGCGGGTGCCTCGCCGCAGTAGTCCAGGGACCTCAGCTCCGACGCGTCGATGCGAACGGACCTCAGGTTGTGGCAGCAGCGAAGGGCGAACCGGCGGAGGCGCTTGTCGAGGACGGAGACGGTGCTGAGGCGGCCGACGGACTCCAGCGTCAGGTCGACGAGGCGGGGGCAGCTCGAGATCAGCCGCTGGACGCTTCTCCCGCCGTCGCGCCGCGGGGCGGTGATGCTCAGAGTCTCAAGGAACGGCAGCTCAACGGTCTTCGGCAGATTCATCCGGCAGTTGCTGATGCGCAGCGTCCGTATGGCGGTGCACGAGAAGAGCCCTCGCGGGAGGACATACGACCACGGTCTCCAGTTCCTCCCTTCATCCTCGGCGTCCGAATTGTCGGTGCCACTGTCCACCTCTTCTTCTTCCTCTCCTCCGTAGTCATGAACCTTGCGGCGGCACTGGCAGATCGAGCCGAGCCAGAAGCAGAGGTCGAGGTGGAGCTCGTGGAGGCGGTTGGTCCGCAGCACGTAGGTGAGCCACTGGTCGACGTGCACGGCGTTCCAGTGGTGGCAGTTGTCGAAGGCGAAGCGGAAGCTGCGCAGCGGCACGTGGGTGCCGGCGGTACGGCGGCGGCAGAGGAGCGCGGAGCAGACGTCGTCGAGGATCACGCCGCTGCAGCTCTTCCTCTCCTTGGCCTCGTAGTAGAAGGTGTCCCAGTCCTTGGCCCTCTCGCCCTCGCGCTCCTCGAACGAGATGGCGTGGACGTTGCAGAAGATGTTGCGCCACCGCCGGGACAGCCCCGCCGCGCAGCCGGCCTCCTTGGTGGGGAGGTAGGAGAGGATGTTGCCGATCAGGAAGTCGGGGAGGTCGCTCAGGCGATCCCTGGGCGCGCGCGCCGACGGCGACGGCGACGGCGATGCCATCTCTCTATCGCCCGGTTGCTTTGGTTTGGAGATCCGATCCGGCTCGATGTGCGACTATATATCAGGGAATACCGACTAAACAAGCGCGTAATTTGCGGGTTAAGTTGGCCACCGGAACCTACTTAAAAATAAGTCATCGGGAGAAATCGTAACAATTCGGTTAACATATCGAGGAGAGGCATAAATAGGCAGGCGTCGAGATGGCATCTGATGATCGGATCACGGCGTCGAAGATGGCAGGAGGAGACCGGCTAAGCGCTCTCCCGGACAAGGCGCTGGAGCGCGTCCTCTCCCACCTCGTGACCGACGAGGCCGTGCGCACCAGCGCGCTCTCCAGCCGGTGGCGCTACGTCCACGAGGGCGTCCCCGTCGTCGACCTCGTCGACACCAAGACAGGCGAGCGGGCAAACCGCATGGACGACCTCAAGGTCTGCTTCGACCACCAGGTGGCGTGCGCGATCCTCGGCAAGGGAGCGGAGACGCCGATCCGCGTCCTCCGTCTCGGCGGCGTCCTCCACGTCCCGTACGACCTGCTCGACCAGTGGATCGCCACCGCCGCCACCTCCGGCGTCGAGGACCTCGACATCGATCTCAGGTACGATGAATCCGCCCCGGGCCCGCTCTGCCCGTTCCGCCGATCACCGGACCAGGACGATTCCTGGATGTACACCGTGACGCCGCGCCAAACCTTCAGCTGCCGCACGCTCCGCCGCCTGCGCCTGTCGTGCTGGGCGCTCGACCTGCCGGGCAGCGTGGACATGGCGTCGCTGGAGACGCTCCACCTCGACAGGGTCACGGCCCGAGACGGGCTGCTGCAGCAGCTGCTCTCGAGCTGCCCGCGCCTCGCCAGCCTGACGCTGGAGGAATGCCTGGCCATCAAGGAGATCACGGTGACCAGCCCGTTCCTGCGTAGCTTCGCCATGATCTGCTGCCACAATGCCACCGCCGTCGAGCTGCGCACCACCTGCCTCCGGTCGCTGCACTACAAAGGCGGCCTTCCTCCTCGCGGGCCGCCGTTCATCGTCATCGCAGACTACCTGGCAGTCACGGCGGTGAGGATTGAAATCTGCCAAGGCATCTGTCGCGAGGAATCACCGGAAGTTGCTCCGGTCATGGCCCTCATCGGCCGGTGTGAAAAGCTGGCGCGTCTTGACCTCTGCTTGTTCCTTTCAGTGGCCTACTACAGCAGCTTGCTCACAAGCGTCCTGCGTGACCTGCCGCACCTCAGGCAGCTGATCCTCGAGGGCAGCCTGGTCACCGACGACGCGGTCCCGTTGGTCGCCGCCTTGCTTCGCAGCACCAAGGACCTGGAAGTGCTGGCGCTGCTACATCGGGGTCCAGAGCCTCCAAAGGAAGTGACTCCCTCGCATGACGAAGCAAATGCCAAGCCACAGAAGAAGCGACGCGTCGTCAACGACGTGACAGGCGTCTAGAGCAGTGTGCTCTCATGCTTGAAATTGAAAAGGAAGTGAGCCTCGGGAGCTGCTTGGTCACCGATGATGTGGTCCCGTCTGTCGCCGCCATGGACCTGGAAGTATTGCCGCTTTTACATCGGGTCCAGACTCCGGAGCCTAAAAAGGAAGTGACTCCCTCGGAGAAAGCTCAGCGGCGACGTCGAAAGCGGCGTAGAAACCGTCATCGTCAATTACAGGCATTAGTCTAGCATCGCATGCCTGGATTATAGAAGAACAAAAATTGTAAACTACCAAGGACTGCCCACTTGAAAATATGCTTTGCAAGGTTTCTGCTTTCTAGGGCTGCGGCGTTGGAGGTTTTGAATTCATAGCTGAATTCGTTGGAATTGGTATAAGCTTTCAACGGAGTTATAGAAGTATGGAGTCCATATGCAGCAATCCTCGCATATTTCGATGGGTTTATCTGCAGCATTGCAGTCAGGAGGCTAACTATGTGGTGCACAATCTAGCTAGACATGCTTCTGATGCAAACTCTAGTGTTTTTTGGGACTCTGATCCCCCTAGTTTTATTATTCTTGATGTTATGAATGATGTACTATCTACGTTTATGATGAAATAAAGTGCACCATGAAAGTTTTTCCCTAAAGAAAGACAGGAGAATAAGATTGGTTGCAAGGGAGTAACTTGCAACTATATGGCAGAAAAAGTTGCTTGCACTTGTAAAATCTTAAGAGTAAAAATATGTTGTTAATGTTTTTTTAGTAATGCCAGACATCATTTGCTTACATTTCTCTGTTAAGTTCACTAACTCAACTAGGACCTTATGAGAGATTCATGTTGGGCACATCATGCTCTTAAGTTGCACAAGGCAGGTAATTCTGGAATAAAAGAAAGCAAATAATGCAATGCAGCAATCAAACGCGTCCGGTTAGGTTACTACCACTTATGTTCTATGCATTCGTATCTGAGTTGGAACACACTGATAGCTTATTATGCAGAAATTAATTTTTTTACACCAAGACTAAGCTGCTTGAATAATAATAATCAAGAGCATCTAGTTAGAAATATCGTAATTGATGATCTGGTAGTATTACTTTAGCAAGAACATTCATATACTGTGAGATCAGTTTCTACAAACATCAGAAGGGCCATCAGGAGTACACATTGTTTAAGGTAAATTAAATATATCCAAATACGCAACAGTAAGCCTGAAATTTAAGGAAAACTTAGGAAAATTATTCTTCAAGTAAGTTGTCGGAAATACTGGAGCATAAAGGCATCTAAATCTAGAATAGTGAGACACTTAGTATCAGGGGCAGACCTGAATCGACCAATTTGCAGACTTTGTTCCGCCAGCTGAATGCAACGGGAATGCAGAGCTCCGACTCTGAGAACAAGAATGAAAGAAGCAGCAGGCCCTGCAGTCTGTGGCATACTCACTCAGAAAACACGTCTGACTTTAACCAGCATGCGAAGGGACTAAATAAGAATTCATGAAATTGGCATAAACTACTAACATCGTTGACACTTCAGCAGTAGAGCATCAACATTCAAAAGTTATGTGGATAAACTTGTGTGCGTATAGATGACAAAGTACACAAAAAGTGCCTTGCATTGAGCAACCAAGGTAACACAATCATAAGCCAAAATGAGTGCTAATGTATAAAATGATTAACAACACAGGTTTCCAGAGATGTCGGCAGGCAGGTTGGGCAGTGCGGCCAAGATTGGTGACCTGGGCCATGATTTTTGCGAATGCTGTAAAACTGGAAAATGAGGGAAAGGGGGAAAACAGGCGTTGAGCCATTTGGTCAAACACATACCGGACCTCACCTTCACCACTCCATTCATGCGTTGTCGGTGAGCCCACTCAGCTGGAGCAGCAAGGAGCCTGACGCCGCTGGCCCAGGGAACTGGAAGAGCAGCGCGCCGCCGGGCCTTCGATGAGCGGAGGCATGTCGCGGGCGTCGCACCGGTGGACACGCGGACGGCGCGAGGTGTCAAATGGGACGGGGACGAGCAGGTGCCACGGCCTGAGAATGAGACTATGAGAGCAACGAACCCAGGGGATGGCTGATGGCCGATGGGACGGCGGGAGCTTCACGAGGACGGGGTCACGGGGACATGAAGGGATTCCGGTGCTACCGTTGCACTCGCACCGGACACAGTAAATACGGAGTACTCCCTCTGTAAACAAAATAGAAGAGCGTTTATATATCACTAAAGTAGTGATTTAAACGTTCTTATATTGAGAGAGTACATCGTATAGGTGCTCATACAATGTATTTACACACCACATGAATGTATGCGGTCACTCCCAGCCGTGTGGCCGACGGGCGGCATCTGGGCATCTTGAAGACGAGGACGGCGTGGTTTCTCGAGAGTACCGTGCCTTTCTGTAGCCCCAGATCGCCTCCGTTGGTGACTTCATGGTCATGCTGAAGCTCTTCTTCAAGCCGAAGCTTATCATGAGGACGAGCATCGGGGATGTCTCAGCCCCATCATTCTGGCTGCAGATGGCATCCAGCCGCGCGCTGCAGTCTCCTTCGACCCGGACGCCATGTCCTTCTCCTTCAAGCTCAAGCTTAGCCGCTGCCGCACTGCGGCAGGCTCTATCCAGGTGTGGGCGGTGGTGCTTGATGATGGTTTCTTCCCGTGTTTTGATCTTCGTTCTGAGCTCATTGCGCGGGAAAGCTGCCGCTCCCTCTTATTTAAATTCTGGCCGCGGGATGAGGCCGGCTTGATGTGCCCTCGCACTTTGCCGCTCCTGCCGGCTGTCGAAAATTTGCACCCTCCTAAACCTATCGTGCCACCTGGGCTGCTCCCCACGGTTGGGCCTCTGCTCGCTGCCAGCAGGGGCGACATCCTTCCTACTGAAGCCTGTTTCCCAGCGTATGCACGCGTCCAAGCCCACCAGGTCATTGCCACTCGGCCCATCTGCTCCAGGCCCTTCAAGCACGCTCCTGCCCTCGGTGAGGGCCTGCTTTGTTGGGAAAACTAGTAATTGAAAAAAATTCCTACTATCATGCAAGATCTATCTAGGAGATGCATAGCAACGAGAGGGGAGAGTGTGTCTACATACCCTCATAGACCGAAAGCGGAAGCGTTTAGTTCACGCGGTTGATGTAGTCGAACATCTGCAGGATCCAACCGATCCAAGTACCGAACGTACGGCACCTCCGCGTTCAGCACACGTTCGGCCTGATGACGTCCCTCGAGCTCTTGATCCAGTAGAGGGTCGAGGGAGACTCCGTCAGCATGATGGCGTGCTGACGGTGTTGATGAAGTTACTCGCGCAGGGCTTCGCCTAAGCACTACGACGATATGACCGAGGTGTTAAACTGTGGACGGGGGCACCGCACACGGCTAAGAGATTGTCTGTTGTGCTTTGGGGTGCCCCCTGCCCCCGTATGTAAAGGAGGGAGGGAGGAGGCCGGCGGACAGGAGGGGCGTGCGCCATAGGGGAGTCCAACTAGGATTGCCAATCCTAGTTGGAGTCCCCTTCCTTTCCAAGACGGGAGAGAGGGAAGGAGTAGGAGAGTGAGAAGGAAAGAGGGGGGCGCCTCCCCCTCCCTAGTCTAATTCGGACCTGCCATGGGAGGGGGGGGGGCCATCTTGCGGCCCTCCTCTCCTTTCCACTAAAGCCCATTAAGGCCCACTACTTCCCGCGAGGGGTTCCGGTAACCTCCGGGTACTCCGAAAAATGTCCGAACTCTTCTGAAACCTTTCTGGTGTCCAAACATAACCTTCCAATATATCAATCTTTATGTCTCGACCATTTAGAGACTCGTCGTTATGTCCGTGATCTCATCCGGGACTCTGAATAAACTTCAGTCATCAAAAACACATAACTCTTAATTCAAATCGTCATTGAACATTAAGCGTGCGAACCCTACGGGTTTGAGAACTATGTAGACATGATCGAGACACATCTCCGATCAATAACCAATAGCGGAACCTAGATGTTCATATTGGTTCCTACATATTCTACGAAGATCTTTATTGGTCAAACCGCATAACAACATACGTTGTTCTGTTTGTCATCGGTATGTTACTTGCCCGAGATTCGGTCGTCGGTATTGTCATGCCTAGTTCAATCTCATTACCAGCAAGTCTCTTTACTCGTTCCGTAATGCTTCATCCCGCAACTAACACATTAATCACATTGCTTGCAAGTCTTATAGTGATGAGCATTACCGAGAGGGCCCAAAGATACCTCTCCGATAAACGGAGTGACAAATCCTAATCTCGATCTATGCCAACCCAACAAACACCTTCGGAGACACCTGTAGAGCATCTTTATAATCACCCAGTTACGTTGTGACGTTTGATAGCACACAAGGTGTTCCTCCGGTGTACGGGAGTTGCATAATCTCATAGTCAGAGGAACATGTATAGCAATAGCAATAAAACTTATCGACCATTATGCTAAGCTAACGAATGGGTCTTGTCCATCACATCATTCTCTAATGATGTGATCTGATATGTCTCCAACGTATCTATAATTTACGAAGCATTCATGCTATTTTATTATCTGTTTTGAATGATTACGGGCTTTATTATACACTTTTATATCATTTTTGGGACTAACCTACTAACCGGAGGCCCATCCCATATTGTTGTTTTATTGCCTGTTTCAGTATTTCGAAGAAAAGGAATATCAAATGGAGTCCAAACGGAATGAAACCTTCGGCAACATGATTTTTTGGAAGATTATCATCCTGGAGACTTGGAGTTCACGTCAGAAGATACTCGAGGAGCCCAGGAGATAGGGGCCCCCCCCTACTGGGCG